GTGCAGGATTGCACCTTTGTCTCCCACCATTTCCCGTTTTCTTGACATCATCTCTACTCAACTCCATCCAGCTTGGCCAACCCTCAAAGGTGAATTTGTGACCTTCCCACGAAGGAGGAATGGCTTTTATAAGTAATGGACAATGTGGAAAAGGCAAAGCTGACAGCAAGATTAAGAGATCGAAATGATGAACTGTTTACAGAAGAATGGAGGCCTTTTTTAAAAAACTAATTGAAAAAGTACTATAGTGAAATGAAATCATGGGCAGGATTTGAGATAGGAGCAGCGGAAGGAAAATGATAAAGTAACTGCATTAGAGGGATTTATATAACAGATAAGAGCTATATAATGCAGTAGAAAAGAGTTTGAACGAAAACACTGTGGAGGTAGGGATGGGAAGACAACGTATGAAACAATGTAACTATTAGATTTGAAGTGAACATGTAAAAATTCGGAAATTCAATAAAAAGTTATATTACAAAAATAGAGATGAATTTGTGACCCACCTCCAGCAGCGAAGCAGTGCAAGTTAACAGAGTGAGCGCCAAGAGGAAAGGAAGATGGCAGAAGTCAACAGATGCAACCCAACGAACGAAGCCTCACCTGTTTCAGCGTCATCGTCAAACTGGGGCAAGCGCTTCACAAGCTGGGGCATGTTGGCGTGAGGGTCATCCTGGAAGTTGTCATTCTCGAGCGCCTCCAACTGGCGGTTCAGGCGCCGCTGCCGGGTGGCCCGGTCTAAGATGCGCCTCTGGCTGGGGTCCTGAGACCGTGCTGAGAGAGAAAAAGAGAGAGGGCTGTGTCTGATGCCAGATGCCAGTAGTGGTTAAGAGAGGTAGTCTCGTAATCTGGTGAACCGGGTTCGCGTCTCCGCTCCTCCACATGCAGCTGCTGGGTGACCTTGGGCCAGTCACACTTCTCTGAAGTCTCTCAGCTCCACTCACCTCACAGAGTGTTTGTTGTGGGGCAGGAAGGGAAAGGAGATTGTTAGCCGCTTTGAGACTCCTTAAAGGGAGTGAAAGGCGGGATATCAAATCCAAACTCTTCTTCTTCTTCTAATCTTCTGCAATCCAAGCAACCCACAGTCTGCCAAGGGAGACACCCCTTGGGCCTTCCGCAATGCCCCTGGACATTTGAATTGCCTCCGCTGAAGCTCAGGTGGCCTTGTGCTCAGGATAGCTTGGTGGCAAGGACTGCCTTCCATCAGCTTCAGCTGGTGGCCCAGCTCTGCCCCCTAAATGGACAGGGATAGCCTAACTACTGTTGTCTATGCCCTGGTGCTTTCATTCATTGCTTAAAACCACTGAAAGGTGAGAGCAGACTAGTCTCTCTCCAAAACAAAGGAGCAGAATAGTGCCTGCACACCTGGCCTCATATTTGACGTTCTACAAATGCTGGAAATGTTTACTCTTTTTTTGGAAAAAGAAAGCTGGGAATCTGGAGATTATCTTTCATTTAGGGTAGGGAAGGAACTGCCTCATCGCCGCCCACCATCACAAAGCACCCTTGAGGTCTAACAGACACATTACTTTATTTTCTCCCCCATGGTGACCGCACTACCACATACATTTAGCTCAAGAATATGTTCTACTAATGCTGTGGCAGGAGCACGTAGCGGCTATGCGACAGCATAGGAGGAATTTGCATTGCATTTTTGTATTTGATTTTTATCTGCAATTTTTTGGTTGTTCACAAGAACATTTTGTTTTTCTGTTTAAGCATGCTGCTCTAAATGTGAATCTTTATTGCGTTGGATTTTCATCTGTAATGTTTTAATTCGGTGTTTTGAAAGGTTCTGCTCTTTCGTTTTAAGATGGCTAAGATTTGTTTATTTGTTTAGAAAAATAAAACGGTATTTTTTTTTATAAAAAAAGAATAAATCCTCTCCTACAGTTTTTAAGAGGCAGCCTGATGCCAGCTTCTTCCGAATAGGAAACACTGTCCCTTCATTTCCAGATTGTTGAGAGAGGCTGACATTCATCAGTGGCAAGTCAAAAGGCACTCTGTTCAAGCTCAGATACCCTCCCATGGGGTAAGTTCACATACTTCCATCATGCCTGACCCCTGACCATGCTGGCTGTGGCTGATGGGAGATTGAGTTCAGCAACTTCTGAAGAGCACCCTCATTGGCTACCCCTGAAAGGGATACTGTGTTTGTAGCAGGAATTGGGAACCCACCACCCTCCAAACACTGCTGGACTCCAACTCCCATCAGCCCCAGCCAGCATGACCAATGGTCAGGCACGGTGGGAGCTGGAGTCCTGCAACATCTGGAAGGCCACAGATTCCACACCAAGGTCCTTTCTCATTACCAGGTGCTAAACTAGCATCAGCATATGTTGCAGGTTTTCCCATTAAATGCTAGTTCAAAATTAAACCCGGGTCACATCAAAAACTTCTAGGATCCACCTTGCTTCTGCGATTGCAAGTTGTTTCAAATATTGTGTTTTAATGGCTGCAGCCCACACTGGGGCCTTCGAGCGAAGGGCAGAAATATGTTTAGGGCTATGGTGAACACAATGAAACCTCAACAAGAGCGTTCTTCTGAATATGTGCAGAGTCCCTGCGGAATAAACCCTCCACCAACAACGGTGATGATAATAGTTCTGCAGGTGGGAAGCCGGATTGTAACATTACTTTGGGGTTCCCAGAATATCCTTTGTTTTGCAAAGGGCTGCTCCTGATCACAGCACAATGCAAAACATGCATTCCTTGTTTCCCATTATTTCCTTGGCTATTTGCTATTTAAATCGGAGAACGCCGATCCCCCTTCGGTCCCAGCAGCCCCGCCGCCCTCCCATTCCCACTGCGAAGTACCTGAGATTTTCTTCTCCACCATCCTGCGAGCAAGCAAAGAGACACAACCTCCCGCAGACACTCCTTCCCGACACTTCCGGTATCGAACCGCGCTAGCTTCCCAATGCTGGTTCTCTTAACGCAGCGTGCATAGATAGGGCTTTCCAACCATAGAGAGCGGGAAAAAGATAGAGCGGCTCTACCCCCCCTCGCATCCCGCTCAGGCAAGAGCCTTCGCTTTAATACCGGAAGTTTAGGCTGTATCTCCCCGCTCGCAAGCCGCCATGTTACCAGGGGCAAATCGCACTTCCGCCTGTGCTCCCAGCTCACATTCCTCGGGGAAGCGACGTCGCGGGGTCCTAAACTCCGCCTGCGTTTGTCGCAAAGCCTTTGCAATGGCTTTTTTTTTTGTGAGAAAGGAGAGGCAGGGATTTATGGCTGGTGGCGATTGGGAGGGAAGGCAAAGGGAGCCCAAGGCAAAGGAATGTCATCTCCTCTTCCAATGTTTAGGGCTAGGATGAGCACAATGAAACCTCAACAGGAGCGTTCTTCTGAACATGTGCAGAGTGCAGGCGGAATAAACCCTCCAACAAGCACAATGAAATGTAGGAGTGGGGGGGATAGAAAAAGTTGGGAGATAACAATTGGCAGGTTGAAGGGCAGTACAGAGCGTCGAAACACCTTATTTCAGCCCGGGGATGTAGCTCAGTGGTAGAGCGCATGCTTTGCATGTATGAGGTCCTGGGTTCGATCCCCAGCATCTCCACCTTTTACTCCTTGCTCTGCCGCCAAGTTGACAGGCCGGCAGTGCTGTAGGGCTATCCCTGTCTGTTGAAGCCTGAGAGGGCAAATGAACGTCAGGCACGAAAGAATTCCCGGAGCTGTTTACAGTTACGTGCATCCCACTGCCCACGTCTTCAAGGCAGTATAGTACAGTGGTTAGAGTGTCAGACCAGGGAGACCAGGGTTCAAGTCCCCACTCAGCCACGAAGCTCACTAGGTGACTTTACCATCAAAGATTGCTGGGCGCTGTCCTTTGTTGCTGATAAAATCAACCTTTGAAAACGAAGTAGAGGAAACATTTGTCAAAGCACAGATAAAAATCGGCAGTTTTAAAACAAATTAACACAAACAAAATCACACGCCTGGGTAGGCTGCTGCTGGCCTGAGCAAAATGAAGTTTTGAGCAGGCAGGGAAAGCAGTACAAGGCATGTGAAATTAATGTTTCGAATTCTAGTGCTAAACAGACACGCGATATGTATTCAGTTATAAAAATATTTATAGACCACTATTTCACTCTTTTGGACGCAGGTGGCGCTGTGGGTTAAAGCCTCAGCACCTAGGACTTGCCGATCGAAAGGTCGGCGGTTCGAATCCCTGCGGCGGGGTGCGCTCCTGTCGCTCGGTCCCAGCGCCTGCCAACCTAGCAGTTCGAAAGCACCCCCGGGTGCAAGTAGATAAATAGGGACCGCTTACTAGCGGGAAGGTAAACGGTGTTCCGTGTGCTGCGCTGGCCTGCCAGAGCAGCGATGTCACGCTGGCCACGTGACCCGGAAGTGTCTGCGGACAGCACTGGCTCCCGGCCTATAGAGTGAGATGAGCGCACAACCCTAGAGTCTGGCAAGACTGGCCCGTACGGGCAGGGGTACCTTTACCTTTATTTCACTCTTTTAAAAAAACTTTTAAAAACCCGTGTGTGTGTGTGTGTGTGTGTGACATCAATTACATTTGCAGAAAGATGTATCATTAACTGCCTGCATAACCCTGGCTTTCAGCAGGTGTCTGAAAGCGGCTAAGGCTGCCGTGGAACCATCTGGGCTCCCATCATTTTGAAGCACGCGAAGTGTGCATGGGGCGAGGGCTTTAATACCTTTAAAATCAACAGCACCCCCTGCTCTGGGCAGCCCACCCTTCCTCCCTGGACCCCCCCCCCATCTCCCACCCACCCCGCGCGCAGGTTTATTTTCTTGGCAACGTGGCATTGGAGGAAGCGCAGGTCTCCCCCTCCTTCCTCCCCTTTCCAAACACTTTTCACGACCAGATTTTCTACTACTTTCTCTCGCCGTCCCGAACTTTCCAGACTCCTGATTGGCCCGCAGAGGGGGGAGCCCCCGCGTCCCGATTGGCCGCCCCTCGCCCGAGCTGCCGCGCGATTGGATGGCGGCCTCTCTCTTTTTTTCCCATGGGCTCCCATTGATGAAAATGACCAGGAAAGAGACGCGAAGGTTCTCGCGGGGCTATATACTGATTTTTTTCTGGTTTCGTGGGTGGGCGCAGCGGGAATATCGGGGTCCCGCCGCCTCATTCCGCCCAAGGAAAGTGGAGGGGGGAGAAATGGGAAGAGGGTTTCCGATCTCCCCTTCCTCCTCCCCCTTCTTTTTCCCAGCTGCGGGGCTGCTGCGGGGAGGAGCCTGACGTCGGTCCGGCCCCGCCGATCGCGAGAGCTGAAAAAGCAGCAGCCCGAGCGGGCCCCGCAGTCTCTCGCCTCGGTTCCCGGGTCGCCTCCACCATGAAGCGGCAGAGATGCGTCTTCCTCAGCGCCGCCGCCGCCGCGATCCTAGCCACTCTGCTGATGGGCGCAGCCGCGACCAGCGAGGAAGATCAAGAGGCCGTCGATCCAGGTACGAGACGAGATCGGGGTGGGGTGGGGGGTTGTCAGGATCGGTAGCAGAATGACCTTTCCAGGGATCGAGTGTTTCCACGCCGGAATGAGGCAGAGGTTGCAGTGGGGGGGGTGTTGCAAAAACGGGGTGGGGGTGTCATACATATGCACACGAGGAGGGAGAGAGGCATATTGGCAAATAGGAAAAAAAGAGGATCGACCCGGGAATTGCAAGCTGCGCGCCAGCTCCTTGCACAATTGCTGGCCTTTCTCTTCGCTTTCTGGGAGAAGCGGGAGGGACTATAATAATGATAATAAATAATATTTTTTTATTTATACCACGTCCTTGCCGGTTGAGAAAACAGGGCTTAGGGCGGCTAACAACAAATACAAAACACTTAATTGTAATACAACATAGAAGCAGCATAAAATACAGTATAAAAGCTTGAATGACAATAAAATTCAAAGTTCAAAAATCGAGTTTGGGGGAAATCCATCCAATAAGCATTAGATAGTCACCAGGGCTATCTGGCTGAATTAGTCCTACTTGGGCCAGGGAGGAGGCCAGGGGAGAATTAGCTGGGGGGTCTCAGAGCGGGTAAGCAGCCAAGGAGGTGGTGGACTCCCAACTCCCATCAGTCCCGACCAGTGGACCTGGGATGATGAGGTCATTCCCAACATCTGGAGCGAGCGCATCACTTTCGGGTCTGAAAGCAAGGCAGTGCCGGGAAATGTGTAGCCCAGGCATAGGCAAACTTGGCTCTCTAGATGTTTTGAGACTACAACTCCCATCATCCCTGGCCACTGGTCCTGTTAGCTAGGGATGATGGGAGTTGTCCCAAAACATCTGGAGAGCTGAGTTTGCCGATGCCTGGTGTAGCCCTACAGATGGTGTTGGGCTCCCGACTCCCATCAGCCCCCAGGCGGTGTGAACTGGTGGTTGAGGATTGTGGGAGTTGTAGTTCAGTAACATTCTTGGCTGCAAATAACCATTTGTACATCCCGTTCCTTGTGATTGACCAAGTGAGCCAGGCAGAGGGGGAACAGAGGGAAATCAGAAAGGTGTGTGTGTGTTTATATAGAGAGCACTTGACATAGTCCATGTGATAGCGGAAGAAAGGAAATGTTACCAGGGCCATCTTTACAAAATGTGCGTGCAGACACACACATGGCACTAATATTATGCACTGATGTGTTTTGGTGTAACGGGGGAGCAGAGAGGAAAGGTTGATGAGAAGCAATAATGGCCACCAACTTGGATGACTTCAAGAGAGGAATGGACAGCTAGGAATAAGGTGATCAGTGGCTGTGCCCTACTTCAGCTCAGGCAGCCTGGCACAGAACAGTCTTTAAAATACTTGTCTTTCTTCTGCCAGAGGAGCAGCAGCAACAGCCCCACTGTTCATCGGCTTCTTTTACATAGGATTTCTCTCTAAGTGTTTGCCTTTTGCAACAGATCCCAGTTCGTAGATCTCAGAGTTCTGGTACAAAACAAAGTAGATCCCCCCAACCTGCAGTGCAGGTTTCCTTTTTTGCCAAGTCTTTTTATTATTTTTGCCAAGATCTGACAAGCGCTTTGTAGCTAATCAAAGAATGTATTGTTGAGAGAGTTTAGCGCTTTGTCCAGGTAGTGACTTGGCCTGTCTTGGTTCGTTCTCCCTTTGTGAGCCTTCTTTTCCAGAGGATGCTGACCTACATAATCTCGCCATGGTTGGGTTGTGGGAGGTTTTGGGTCTATACCCCACACTGCTTCAGTATCCATGAATCCTCTGACATGCTGTTGTGGCTCTTCTGCAACATCGTACCCTCTACCCTTGGGACAGAAAAACAGTTCCTCCTCCTTCTCCTCTTCTTCCTTTAGATGGTTTGAGGAAGCGTCTTTTCCTGCCTTTTGCTTGTGATGTGAAAGTTGCAGACTTGGCGACTTAACAGAATTTGCAAAATTGCAACTTAACTGCTGCCCAGAAATATTTCATGGTTGTTTTGCTGCTGCTGCTGCTGCTGTTCTTGATTATGGTAATATTAGGACGGTAGTAGTCATAGCTTACTGTGCTGGATCACACCGAGGTTCATCTAAGTCCAGCATTCTTAGCGTAGCTAACTAGATGTTTCTGTGTGTCCTCTAGGAAGTCCATCAGGGCGGGACTTCAGGGCTGAATTTTGAGGGCTCTTCACCAGAATGAGGACCCCCCAATTCCAGCAGGGCTGACTTACCGCATTTTGAACTGAAAACTGGCGTTGGCATCTAAAGAGCTCCCTTTCCACCCATAAGGCCATAAAGTCCAGAGTTTAAAATGACCTAACTGCATTGCTGGATTTACAAAGGTGGCAATTCTCTTGCTCCTGGCTTGTGTGACTCATTGTGGTCTGGCCCGCCTTGGTTCCCCTGTGGCTGAAATACTTGCCATTTATTTATTTTATTTATACCCTGCCCTCCCTGGCCAAGACTGGGCTCAGGGCGGCTAACATCAGATCTAAAAACGATTGATTAAAATACAACTTTAAAAACAAAATTAAAATACTACTTAAAATGCAGCCTCATTTCAAGTGGAAGCCCAGATCAAAAACTGTTTTTTTGGGGGGGGGGAGAAAACGTCAAATCTTCACCAAGGCCAACTATCCAGACTGGTCCTACGTGGGCCAGAAAAGCCAGGGAAGTCCCCAAATAGGGGTTCCATCACAGAAGGAAAAGGAAAGAGGGAGAGAGGATCAGGCTGATTCCAAGCCAAAGGCAAGGCAGAACAACTCTGTTTTACAGGCCCTGCAGAAAGAAATCAAATCCCGCAGGGCCCTGGTCTCATGAGACAAGAGCATTCCACCAGACCAGTGTTGAAAAGGCCCTGGCCCTGGCTGAGGCTAATCTGACTTCCTTAGGGCCCGGGACCTCTAGGGTGTTGCTATTTATGGACCTTAAGGTCCTCCGCGGGGCATACCAGGAGAGGCGGTCCCGTAGGTACATGTTCCTTCAAACTTCTGAAGTCGAGAGCTGGCAACTGCTAAAGTGGGAATGGGGAAGCCAGTGGCCCACCAGATATTGCAGGACTCCAACTCCCATCGTCTCCAGCCATTGGCTGTGCTGACTGGGGCTGATGGGAGCTGGAGTCCAAGGAGATGTAGAGGGTTGGTTCCCCATCCCTACTCTAAAGCAAAGTGAGCTCTTGGAAGTAATGCATTGGGACACCCTTTGAGCCCACCTCACACTTAACCTATTTTTAGGGTTGTGTGTTTTAAGCATGCTCTTGAAAACGCAAGGCACAAGCAACAAACTGGGGGCACAAAGAAACGTACCATCTTCTTGGCATCATTCTAGGAGTTTCAGCATTTTATCGTTTAGCAGCTGGTGATTAATATTGTCTACTGGGGCTGTTGCCTCTTGAAAAGGGTTTTGCGTATAGCTAGGTTTTGTGCTTGAAAGCGGGGGATCTTGCTGTTAGCAGTTTGGCTCGAGGTGCTTTATCGCCTGTGCATTTTTTATAAAACTATTTGTATTTATGACATTGCATGCCTTGTTTTATCTGTGAGTTGCCCACAGACTTTTTACGTCTGCAACAAACAAATATATACAATCAATAATAATTTTAAAATTATATGTCCCATATGGGGATCAAACCTGCAACCTTGGCATTATCAGTACCATGCTCTAACCAACTGAGCTATCCAGGCTATAAATATAGGGATCGTCCGGGATTTGAAACCTGGACGCTCTTGTGACCCTAAACAAGAATCATTACCTCTAGCACCAGCGGTTCTCTAACCTGTGGGGTCTCCAGCATGATGTGTGGACTACAAACTCCCATCATCCCTGAGCTCTGGCCTATGCCAGCTGGGTGCATGGAGTTGTAGTTCACGACATCTTGGGGACCCACGAGCGTGAGAAAGGCTGCTCTAGACCAGTGTAGTTTCAACACATCTGGGGACCACAGGTTGAGAAATTTTCCCCCCCCTGCTCTTCTGGCCAACCGCAAAAGCCAAGAATCGCGGGGCCGCCGGCGGAGGGGGGGGAGGGCGAGTGGAGGCAGCGGCGAGCCCCGTTCCTCCCCATCCGCCCCATTCCGTGCAAGGAGCGCGAACAGGTGTGAGAAGGGGATCAAACCTGCGGGTCGGCGCCGGGGAACCTCCAAGCTTTGGGGGTGGGGGCTCCACCGTGTAGCCCTGCAGCAGCTCAGTCAGACCCGGCGGGATCTCGATACTCATCTTGTAGCCGAGGCGCGCGGGAGACTCAACGGACGGGCCCGGGAGAGAGAGAGAGAGAGACACGACGGAGAGAGAGCGGGAGTCCCTGCTCGCCGTTGCCACCGCTACAACTACTGTGGCGGTTGGTCGTGGTTGCCGCCGCCCACCTCTATCTATCTCTCCCCCTCAGCTTTCTACGCGGGCCTCGAGCCGGAGGTGGGGGGTGGCCGCCGCCGCTTTCTCCGCCTCCACGTCCTGCCTCCTCCTCCTCGAGCCCTCCGTCAGCCCTGAGGGAACCGCCGCGCTCGCGCCGCCGCTCTCTGACACGCGAGAAAGAGAAAGGAACGGAGCGGCGGGGTAGTCGGGGGAAGGAGGGGCCGGAATGGAAGCGCGAGGCGAGCTGCGCATGCCCAGCAGGAAGCGGCGGAGAGCGCCACAGAGAGAGAGAGAGAAGCAAGGGAGGGCGGGGAGTGGGCGGGAACACGCTTCATGCGTCACAATAACGGACAAGAGGCGCTCGAGGGATAGATTAGGACCTAATTTGACTTTTACAAAAAAAAAAATCTTTCGAATTTTCCCCACGGCACACCAGGCAACACTAGTGTGCCGCGGAACAGTGGTTGGGAAACACTGCTCTAGACCAACAATCCAGCTAGAAAAGATCCATTTGAAATGAATGGACTCCATTTAAAGACCCTGTGAGGCAGGTTAGGCTGAGAGGCAGGGTGCTTCATGGCCGAGGGGGAATTTGAACCCTGCACTCCGAGGTCCTGTTCCAACACACTTACCAGCCGTTCTCAACTTGGGGTCCCCAGACGTTCTTGAACTATGGCTCCCATGATCCCT